GGGGGAGGGACTGAGTCCCTCAGGGCGTGCTTAGCTTTTCCCGGGGGAGAGGAGCGCAGAGGCTGCAGGCCCTGCCGGTTTCCACCCGTCGCCCCAGCTTTCACAGGAAGGTGTGCGTTGATGCGGGTCGCCTTCGAGCTTAGCTTAAGCTGGCTCTGCCGATTTGCTCTGCGGGATCAAGAGTGATCGCTGTGGAAAGTAAAGTGTCTCGTTTGGGTTGGAAAAACAGGAATATGTTGGTGAACTGCAGTGACTCAAAATCGTAGGGAGATTGCAGGAGACACATCGGCCTGAAGTGTTATAAATGCTTATCTTTAACTCTTGAAACCCTAGCTTGTCTTCCCCACCTCCCACCCCCCCATTTTTTTTGTATCACACGCGTTTCTTAGATTTTTATAACAGCATATCAGTGCAGTATTACTCATCTTGCCTTGCAAGAAGTAAATACCTCTATTGTGCTGAGATGTGTATCGCTTACAACAGTCTGCTTGCATTGTTGCAGTTTCCCAGAGTGCACGAATTACAGCTGTGTGCTTAATCCATGTGGATAGCAGGAAACAGGAGAAGCTAAAAAGCGTGAAAAGTAGCTGGTTCCAAAAATTTAGTGTAGTTTACATTGAGGATAACGAATTACATGAGGAAAAAAATGTTTAGTGGGAATAAGGAAACTAGAAATAATTATGGATTATTTGGATAACAGGCCCACTCATTTTCGTTGTGTTGCATCTGCTCGCAACCCCAGCTCCTGGAGCTTCATCGCCTGCTGTGCTTGTCCCGTGGCAGCTCCGTATTTGTAGAGCGACCTGATACCATATCTTTTGGTAGCATCAAGGAATTCTTTACTAGATGCCTAAAAACTTGATGGCAAATTGTGGATCATCTCTTGCACTGGAGTAAGAAGCAGGAAGAGCTGATACAAAATGCCTGCATGGGCAATTGTACATGGCTATTGTAATGCCAAATGACAGGTTGGTCCTCTCCAAAACACTGTACTTGTTTCTCAGGCCTGAGTTGTTACTACAGGATATAGGAATACCAAGGTCCATACTTAATTTTCTCCTTTTAATCCCTTTGCCCCAAAACAAGACTGTAGTCTCTGGATCAGCGTTCCAGGTAGTGCTGTGGGCTGCTCCAGCAGGCTGTGTTTTGCACTTGTTTTTGTGATGCCCTGTGCGGTGCAGTTCTTTGTGACTGTTTTTCCTGGTTTGGCGGACTGCAACTTTAACGTTTATTTCAATGCTGAGACCGGTGCTCCTATTTGAACAGATTTGGAGTGGAGGTGTGCTCCCACAATAATAATAGGGCACTTACTTATTTTGGTTCACATTGATAGTTAACTATGTTTTAAATGTTAAAGGTGTGTTATAAACTAAGAACATACTTATAACTGTGATCTAAATGTTAACAGAGAGGAAGGCAAACATACTGTGTGGTGCAGTTTAAATAGTTGTTGGGGGCTTTTTAGATAAGCTAAAATAATCTAAGTTTTAAATATTTATTGGGGTTTTTTTTGTTTATTTCAGTGTATAAGGTGTAGAAGTAGGCAGATACAGTATTTTGTTTGTATTGCTATACAGATTCTTTCTAAATTCTTATTCCTTTGCTAGGTCTTGATGCTTTTCAGTGTTTTACTATAGACAACTCTTAATTTGCATAGGTACTTTGCTCAGTTCAGTGTTGCACTGAGTGGATAATGTCTTTGAGAGCTTAAAGGAGTTTGCTACTACACAGTGAAACTCTGAAACAGCTGGGGCTAATGATTTTTTTCCTGATTTGATAGCCATCATGTCATGTTAGCTAAACACGCTAATTGTGGTGATTATTTCCTTCTACAAGTCTTCTGGGATAACTAGTAATTTAAGCTGTGATTAAAATCTGGATACATAAGAACAAGATGATATAAATCCTGAAGTTTGCAGGCATTTTGAAAAGTCCAGTGTGGGAAAAACATTGCCCTTAGCAGCTTTGATTGCAAAGCAATAAGAAAGTGAGGAACTAAGGGTACTTAATGGCACTAAAATTGAGCAAAATGGCTGTTCTCTCTACTGTTTGTTTGAAGATGTAATGAGGATTTTAATGGATTATTCTACCTTGTGATGGAATCTTTATTTTAGGAGTTGTTAATAAAATTAGCTGGATGGATAGAAGTCAAATTTGTGTTTTACTCCAAAAAACTTCTTCCTGCACGCTTGCACTTCCATTTTGGGGAGAGTAGTTGAGAATAAGATTTGCTTTACTGTCTGCAAAGACAGCATTGCATGGTTTTGCTTGTACTAATCCTGGAGCTGGAAGAAAGCACCAAAGAGGAAAATTGAGATGGCTGCATGTGTGGGGCCCAGAAGTGTTCTAACAGTATAATTAAATAGTTCACATGGCTTTGTACCTGAGCTAACAGGTTCTCGCGGAAGACTGAGAAGCCCAGGAGAGGTCTACTTTAGCCTTTTGCTGTGCGGACATGGTTGTCTGCTTCTGGAGTAACAGGCTTTGCAAATTGTGCTAGGCTTCATTGATGTAGCTCCTGGCTAGGAAAGGATCTTTTACATCGTATGGCACTTTGTGTTACTAACCATCATTTGATCTTTTTTTTGCTAAGAAATGTCTGAGCATTTGTTTGTGTACTTTACTGCGATCTTGACTGGTGGCAGGTTAGGTTGTATCTGTGCATAGTGCCCCCCTATAGTGTGGTGGTCATTTCAGGGTAGTAATTAAAAGTAATGAAGGGAGAGGGATGTTAAGTAGTAGCTGGATCTAGCTAGCTATTTTGAAGGTGAGAGAATCCAGAGAAATATTACATCTGCCTTCATGACAATTCCCCTTCTGCAGTCATGTTTAACACTGGGTTGGTTGTGTTTTAGAGTTTTGCTGATAGACTGATAAAGCCTGATGTTGGGCTGCGTATGTTTTGACAACTAGGAGATAACTGGGTTTGGGGCAGAAATGCATGTTTCTTCTATTGCTTGCTAAGATTTTAACATGATCTAAGTAGTGAATAAATTTAATTAACAATGCTTTTTCAAGGCAAGGGGAAAGA